TCGCGAGCAATTTATTATTTAATTTAATTATCAATTACCTACCGGATTTTACGCAACCCTGCAGATTCAGCCTCTTACCGTTCAATTTTATTATCAACTCATCCGTGGACGTGTAAGCAATCAGTAACTTCCTTTTTGAAGTGTAAAATGAAATTATGTGAAATTATGAAATTAAGTGTTGATAAAATTCGTGCGTTTTTTCGTTTATCGCATCGTATCTACCAGCTTCGAAGCGTGAATATTTCCCTTAAATTTGGAGATAAAATACGGTATCAAGATCTCCGATAACGAATTAAACATTAACACCATCTGCTCCATTATTCATTTAATCAAAACATCAATCTGAATGATATTATCCGATTGAAATTCATGCTTAATTAATAAAACGTGGCTGTTTGTTTGAATAAACAAATTTATATTCATCGTGTATTATTCCGATAAAATTTGGCGTATCTCTGTCCGCGAGTGAACCGTTTTCCAAAAGGTAATAAACGTTCGGTCAAAATTTAGAATTTTGGTTTTTAATAAACTACATCGGTGCGAAATGTATCCGACTTTAATATCGATTTTGACATAATTAATCGTGAGAGATCGCGAAAGATTGATGAAAAAAGAAAATTATAAGGTCTCCTTCGATAAACTCTTTACGCGTGGGGCTGATTTATGGTTAGCTCTTCCTGCTCAAATTCGCAAAGAGATACGACGATCGATTCGGAGTAATAATACGAAATTACTAGCTACTGTCGAGGGCGAGGAAGTATTATTGCATAATGGATGACAGCGTGCGACAAAAGAGGGTGAATTCAGTGAGTTCGTGCCGATAGGACACGATTCTTAGAAATATCCTAACCCTTACACGACAGAGAACCACGCGATGCACTTTAATGCACAAGCGTCAATTTCTCCTGCACTTTGCAGTTTGCAACGAGATCGAAGCAACTCGAAATTATTCCACTCGAGTATTCTACTATTTCCATAGAGCATTATTATCGTATAGTGATATGAAGTTTTTCTCGTTACACAGAAATTATTATAATGCTTAGGTACCATAAACATATACCCGATGCGTCATTGTTTCCGATTTACGATCTTATTTCTTCTAATTACTTTGATCAAAAGATAACTCTAATTTCTTCGGCATCGAAAAGATATATTTTGGAACAACGATATTGCGATAACGATGCGTCCAAGATGTTCAACCCTCTCGATACTATAATTCGCTTTTGCAAACATTTTCTATCCGTATTAATAATTAATATAAAAGGTAAGAAAGTATTAATATTTCACGAACGATTTCATAATACTTTCATAATTTCTATGCCATTTTATTGTACTCTACTTATTCACCTCGCTCTAAACCACGATGGAAAATGGATATAGAATGGCAAAAATGGTTATCAATGCACAATAGCTTTCCAGAGCATAGTTTGAACAACACTATAGAAACATGCTGAATCGTCGTGGCCTGAGGAGTCACACGAGTTGCATTCAATGGCATCGTGCTCCGGAGGCCTTTCTTTCGCGTATTACCTTTCCTTCTTTCACATTTTCTTATCTGGCTATGATGCGCTTGTCAATAAATCGGTCAACCTTTTCCCTCAGTTTCTATTTTTTTCTTCTCTTACACGCCCCCATAACCTCTCCATTTAATGTTCTCTCGCTACGTTTTATTACTCCACCGCGAGTCTCCAAGACGTTTCCTACGAATAAAAACAGAGTGTGGCAAAATTTTATTCGAATCGTTTGTTATTAATTTCGAAGTTTTTTCGAGTTACCCCGATGCGAAACAAAATTTCTCGCGCGAGTCGCTTGCTTCGAAAATTTATAATTTTAACGAAACACAACGTAATTGAACATGGAATTGAATTTAAGGTTTTTGGAAGTGGAGAAAGGTGCGTTATTAAAAGAAGGAAACATCTGAAACTATTTTTTATAATTAATAATTACTTTAGACATCATTGGAAATTAATTCGTAGTGGTTCGAAACGATAAAGTTTATCGATAGTAGTGTTTCCAACGAATTTTGAATCCTGACGGTTATTATTATATGAACGTATACGAGTGTTACTGTGTGGATTAGAAATGTTTAATTAATACGTAGGTATCGATTTTCATTGCACTCCGTTCAGGTGATTATTATAGAGTGTTTATTGAGAAAATAAAATTTACGAATATGAAAGATATCGATGATTTATTAAATCCGTGCATATTATGTATAATTTTCATTGTTTTATTGTCTCCCTATTATTTTATATATTCTCTGTTTCAGAGAAACAAATTGGTTAGTTTGGCACGTTTTCGATGCAATGAAATAAATCCCTTAAATTACCATGTTTCATACACCGCTTATTAATTATCTTGCAGATATTTCTCACGTATTTAAACGCCAATTAGTAAGAAATTCAACACTCGAATACCACCAGAAATTTCGCTCACCTCCTTGCCTTCATTTAATCGTACATAGCCCGTATACAATGTACACATACTCAGTAAATACTCGACATATTAATAGTCAACGTTTCGTTAACGCGTAATGTCGTTAGCGTACCGTTTAATATCGTAGCCGCGTATTTGGATTCATAGTCCAGCGAATTCGTTCCGTAATTGCGATGTTACACCCTAATGACGTGGATGGAATAAGGGACGAGGTAAATGGAGTGGAAGAACTGTTCTATAACTCGCGACCACCTTGCGGAATACTCCACGCAAGTAGTTGTGCAACGCTGTTTCGGTATAGCGAAACTGAAACATCACCTGTATTCGCAACCCTGCGGAATTATATTTAGTATTCACCCCTAGAACGGCGGAAACTTTTCAAAAATAAAACTAACCACCTTGCGTGCGGCAAACGTTCCGCGAGAATAGCGTTCTTACCGGCTATAGGTTTCGTCGATTGGACTGTCGACTGAGTTTAATGCACTCAAATTATGACGTGATTATTATCGTACCGGGGTAGGAATACTTTAACAGTAAGGGTAAATGATACGTGTATTATACATTTATAAACTTTGAAAAGTAACTTTTGAATCTTTTCAGGCGCCGCGACACGGCTTTGGCAGGTTTCTATTTGTCGGTAACAATATTTTCAAAGGAACACGTTATGGTTTTCATTGAGTATTTTAACACGGATTTTGTATCCGGGGTATTTGTAATTCCATCGAAAGTTGCTTCGATAACGATTAATTAAAATGTTCGATCTAAAACTCGTCGTTAATCTCGATACATTTATTAGACGATTCAAAGTTTGAGAATATCATTTTTACGATGAGAATATGTTCGGTAGAAAAGTACATTGAAAAAGGAATCAATCGACGGTGTACGAATAATTATAAATAACGATTTGTATAACTCGTTGGACATTGAATTTTTCCCCATTCGTTTTCCAAGTGGAAAAGTATTTTGTATTGTTCGCATTCTCAACTTTGATAGTATCGTTAATTCGACATTTAACGAATTTTATATTACGTGGCGGTGTAGTGTACTCAATTTTCCGTTGTATTCGTTATCCACCAATTATTTCTGTTTAACGCAACGTTAACGAATCAAGAACATATGAATCGTTCGTGCTGCTGAAAAACCTGCCAATTTAATCCGTAAGATAAATTAGTGAGATATTCATTAGGAGAGCCGCTCTTTCAACGACTGGAGCCATTTGGACGATGAAGATCGTTCGCTTGCGTGTTTTATTATTTTTTTTTTTTTTTTTTTCTGAACGCGAGCTTTTTAAAGAACCGTCTTTTTCACGCGAGTTGAATGGTAACGACTGACGTGCTTCCGATGACGAAGATAAAACAGGAACGGTGCTGTATGTCCCATCATACGTAGAATGAATGTATATTTCATACGGCACGGCATCGTAGTGACGTCTTTAAACGGACACGATTGTTATCGCTGTCTACGTACTACCTGATCGATAACCATTGTACGTACCACCGTTTTTGCTTTGAGCTTCAATTTGGCCTCGTTTCAGAAGCGGAGCGCCCTCGATTCCCTCTAAAATGTAAGCAGCCTTTGCAATCGCGATTAACTTCTCGTATACGTTTTCGATACAAAGCGTGCACCTTTAGGGCTCTTCAATTTTTAATTAACGATCGAACTCGAACGAAAAACGTGGAGATTCGATATTATTGTTTGGTAGGTTTGTTTGTTTGTTTTTGTTTTTTTTTTTTTTTTGTGTGTGAAAGGATGAAGTGAGTGCTTGCGTATAATTTATGATTGCAAAGGGTGCGAGCAAAGCGCTGAATTGTTCCTGATGATTGATTCGTAGGAAGTGTTTGAAATTAGTTGAAACTCGTAAGTATCGATAGAACGAAGCGCGATTCAAGGTGCAGCAGTAGGTGTATTTGTAGGGCTCGAACGTATTTAAAATTACCGATAAATGTGGATAAATCGAAGTCGCGGGTATTTAAATTTCGTCTTCTTTGATCTTTCCTAATGGTTCCTTAAAATAGTAATTTCGCAATTTTTAGTCAGAGTTACAGACGTTAATTTATAGAATTATATCTCGTAGAAGGTCTACAAATAGGATCAACAATTTAAGTGGATCACGGAGATCCTAATCAATGGAGATATTCGGTTCAGCTCGCTTTCGTTACCAAAGATATGTGTTTCTATTATCAAGAAATTATACATGGAGAAAAATGTCATTAACAATTTAATTTTGTATTAATCGACGAATGAAAGTAGAGAGGAATAAAGATGCATGTTTAAAGAGACACACATCTACATAGGAGGACATACCTACTCCACAAAAATGTATCTTCTTAACACGTCGAGTGTCGTTTCATACGGTGAAAAATTAATTTTCAAGACGAAGCTTAAAAATAAAAAAAAAAAAAACAAAATAAATAAATCTGGATAGAACTACTTCCATCGTACTTTTCTAAAAATATCAGTGTTATCTTGACAGTGAACGTGTTAAGCGCGCAATTGAAATCTGTCGATCCATAATTCACCCCTAAATGGCGAAATCTGACACGAGATGTCTGCGTGTGTTTCAGGTTGTGCTCGTTGACCCTGAGCCGATTGGTAATTCTACGGCCGTTAGGCTCGGACCTAACATCCATCAGCATCGCCGTGAAGATGCAGAGCTCCAAGAGGACCCTGCGCTCGAACGAAATGGCCATTCCGACAGGGGGTATGTTGGACACCGAATTGGAGCTACAGTTCGCCCTTCAGTACCCCCATTACCTCAAGAGGGACGGTAACAAGCTCCTGATACTCCTACAGAGACGGAAACGCTATAAAAATCGCACGATGCTCGGATACAAGACCCTCGCCGAGGGAGTCATCAACATGGCTCAAGTAAGTCGATCGATCCATCCTCTGCTCCTACCCCAAAACTGCCAAGTACACCTGTGACAAATTCTCGCTAAAGGCATCGAAGGGTGCGCTGTTATAGCATGAACGATCCATTCTAGCCACGTTCGAGTTAACGCTTCATCTTGATTTTAATTTTGTCTTCAAATTCCTCTCAATTTTACTCCGCTTGCAAAGTTCAATTCCAGCTCGAGTAAGTCGATCGGATCCACCCCTTTGCTCCTACCCCAAAACTGCCAAATCCACCTTTTTTTAGCGACAAATTGTAGCTGAAGGCATCGAAGGGTGCCCTATAATAATAGCACAATTATTATCAACACCGCGTTAGAGTTAACGCTTCGTCTTAATTTTTAATTTTGTCTTCCAATTCTTCTCGATTTTACTCCACTTGCAAAGTTCAATTCCAGCTCAAGTAAATGGATCGATCCACCACGATCACGAGCATGAACGCCACGCTATTGCCACGTTCGAGTTAACGCTTCATCTTGATTTTAATTTTGTCTTCCAATTCCTCTCAATTTTACTCCGCTTGCAAAGTTCAATTCCAGCTCGAGTAAGTCGATCGATCCACCCTTTGCTCCTACCCCAAAACTGCCAAGTCCACCTTTTTTTGCCCTATAATAATAGCACAATTATTATCAACACCACGTTAGAGTTAACGCTTCGTCTTAATTTTTAATTTTGTCTTCCAATTCTTCTCGATTTTACTCCACTCGCGAAGTTCAATTCGTGGACGTAGCTGTCGATACGTCCCAGTAGCAGTTAGCAAGTTAATTTCAGCCTGGATTAATGTACATCACGGTAGAAAGTCCTTTTCAAAGTCGCGTAAGCTCTGAATGAGGCACGAGTTGAAATGTTAACCCGTCGAGACACGTGTAAGCGGATTCCGGTTTTCTAGATCGTGGGAGAGGCGATAATGGAAAGAGAAAACGACCCCAGGACGCTGCGGTTTGGTAAAATATTTGGTCGAGGCTGTCTGCGAAAATCTGGCGACTGCCTGCACCGAGTATAAACGTTCTACGAATGCTTGCTTGGAAATCGTGAAAATCTTGAAATACAGATTTTAAAAATCGTTGAAGTTGGAAATGTTCTCGTGTCTCCTCGGTTACCAATTAACATTATGATTAATACCAATAACTATTACGATGTATTATTATTATTATTAGTAAATGAGAACGTTCTTTCGGACATTTATACACATCATTATCATTATCATTGTTACTATATTATACAATATATTATAAATATATTATTAATAATATTATTATTATTACAAGTGCCAAAGTATCTTCGTTTTCGGGAGAAAACGTTTACTCGAGAATATTTAGAACTTGTGCTTACATATATATATATGCGCTTATATACGTGTATGTATATTTTATCATTGTAAAGTAACTTTATGTTGTATTCCGCAATCGAAGGCGACGAATAAATTAGATCCGCGAGAAACAGTAAATATGACGTATGTAAGAATATAAAATCGAAAAGGTATAAAAATACTCACGCAAAAACACTGTGGTAGGAAATTAAAAAAAATTTATTTCTTCATAATATTGATTAATCTTTTCGCCACGCGCTATATAAAAATTGTGCTAGCAATTTCGCGAGTAAGCTCGAGCAAGCAACAAACGTTTCCAGTCTATGATACCATCCCGATCGTATCAATTACAACGGGTCAGCGAGATATACCAATGAAATAACCAGAACCTCGCAGGAATTACAAATTACGTCGCAGGTAACACTAGCGGTATCGTTTATTCGATTTGACATCTGGCTGTGTCCAGGGAATCGGTTGTATCGTATTAGCGTCGCAGTGAATGGTGTTCGAGGCTTCTGTAGGTAAATCGCGTCCCTTTGGAAAAGCATTTCAATGTTCAATATCGCGTAGCTCCAATCGGGACCGAATGAATTGATCAACCGATCGACTACAGCTTCGCGAGAGCGTACGAATGAATTAACGCGGTAGAATATCGATAATTGCAGAAAAATAGTGATTCGAGATTAGTCGAATGACGAATGCACCCAATTCGATAAGAAGGAACCCCGCCTACGCGGCACAAGTCCATTACTTATCATCGCGTTTCCTCCATCTCTATTTTCACTCATTGCTAAGTGATCATTTCTTTCGCTTGTCAACAAACAAGATTGTCGTGCAATCATCAAGATTGCTTTCATCGAGGTTCTATAGTACCTATGCGCGCGTTTACCATCTATTCGAAGTGTCCGTGCTTACGTCAGTGATCATCAATCATCAACTATAGTTTTTAACACCTTCGTGCCCATCGTATCGTTTTCGATAAACACCAGTTGTTGTTACACCGCGAGCTGCGTGTGTTCTCGTCCTATAGAGCATTCTTCAAGGTTGGCGCTCTAGTTGCGATCCGTGTTCGATGCGATTCTTAAACATAGAGATCGCGGTTCCGAACGTGTACCAACTCGTTTCGCTCGAGCGGAGCTCGAGTGGCGCCTTCGGGGCGACACGTGTAATTTCAAAGTAATTTTTCAACGTACAGTTTCAATGTTACTTGTATCGGAATCCAGTTAATTATTCATTGAAATAATAATACATCGAGTCGCGAACGTAGATGTTTCTTCTGAAAGCAGAGTCTTTGGTTTTGCAGAAATTTATTATGAAAATGGATTGGATTTGATTCGATAGAAAAAATAGCTCGAGCGCAAAGGGTTAAAATACACGAACGCACGGAATACGTGTACATTGAAAATATATATTTTCTAATGTGGTTATAGACGGTGAATGAGATACTGTGAGATCGAACTTGAAACGAAATTCATACCTGAATGATAAATACGCGAGTATAAAAGCACAGAGTTCGATTCTACAGCATAATAACGCAGAGAAAAATTCAAATGGATAGCCCAACCCAGATTCTTCTTAATTACTTGAAATCTCGTCGGAGCTAGTAACGACGCACCTGTTCCTCTCTGTCGGCAGGTGTTACAGAAGCAAATGGACCTGGAGCTGGAGCTGGTGTCGGACAAGGCCGAGAAATACGGTGGTCACTCCGTGGCGTTAGCTCGCGTGAGTGTTGTGGCTCTGAGCTCGCAGCCAGTCGACCAGGACAAAAGACTGATGAACGATCCGAACGAGAGGCTCTGCCCGGAGTACAGCGACGAAGAGGAGGAGTTCAGCTCCGAAGGCGAGGCGGAAGGCAGCGACAGCGAGCCCACGCTCGAGATGCACAGGCGGAAGAGCCGTGCGAAGATTCCGGCCAACGCCAGGGTGCGTGAAACGAATCAGTTCTGCTTTGTTAAATTCCCATCGTATCGAGTGGCCTCGACTACCGAGACGTTTCTCTCGTTGATCGTGTTAGCCCGTACCGGACACCGTCCACGAGCCTGATGGATACCATAAAGGCAAGGGACCGGAAACTGGTAGAAAATACGCTTAGAATAGCGTTCCTGTGAAATTGCTTTTTAACGTCTATTTCGCGAGGCGAGCCTCTTGAGAGGCTTTTGGCACCTTTGAAAGACCCTTTCAGGTTGCTAATGACGTTTTCTAAAAGTCTTTAAACATCCACCACCCTGTTCGTACATCTTTTGATATCGATACAGTCGATATTGTACTTCGGTGTGAGGTGCGACTATCAACACCAAGGGTGATGTGTCCTTTGATACTCGTTCTATCGATATGCCGTCGGGCACGTGCTTTGATATCAGTACTAGTCCCTTGTCTGTACGTTTCTCGACACCATCAGTATATTATTGATACGTCCTTTGGTATTTCATCATCGAGTTTAGACTGACAAGGAAAGCTTCTTAGGTGTCCGCCTCCGATTGTTTCGATTTTTGGATACGTTTCGAAGCACCGAGAAATAAGATAGACGTATTTTTGTTATACATACAGGCTCGTTTTCATATTTAGGGAGTGAAACGACTCCTTAAAGTTTCAGCTGCAATAGGCGGTTATCATAAAGAATTTATTTTCATATTTAGGGAAACGACTCCTTAAAGTTTCAGCTGCAACAGGCGGTTGTCGTAAAGAATTTATTTTGTACAAAATTTAGGGCCAGATTTTATACGCAGATAGAAAATCATGAAGCTTCTTCTTGAATAGTTTCGGAGATAGCCTATTCCAGCTGAAACTTTAGGAGATCGTTTCACTCCCTAAATATGAAAACAAGCCTATATGTATAACAAAAATACGTCTATCCTATTTTTCGGTCCTTTGAAACGTATCCAAAAATCAAAACAATCGGAGACGGACACCTAACAAGCTTTCCATGCGAGTAATTCGAAGCGGAAAGTCTGGTTTAAGTAATATCAAGTGTTTGAAATTCGACACTGATGTGCTTTGTTCTTGTTCATTTTATTCGGGAGAAACGTCATACTTTTAAGATTCTCTGCTCGCGATCTAGCCTTGTTGGTATTAACGGGAGTACTGTGGGTGTTGCAGCAGAGAAACTTGAAGCAGAAGTTCATAGCCCTGCTGAAGAGGCGGTTTAGGGTCTCCGAGGATCTGGATCAAGACCAAGAGGAGATCGGGCAGAAGCTTTCAGGTAACTGTGCGTTTCTTCAAAGAAACCACACTTCGTGGAACCACGAAGGGGACGAATAGGTTTAGGACTACATTTTTTTTTTTTTTTTAGAGATTTGCATGAATTCTTTTTAGCAAGAAAGGAAATTATATAATTCAATGAAACTTTGAGAACGTCTTATACATGTATTCAAGTAAATATTGTGATTTTGTTGAAAGTATTTTCTCAGAAAATATGGAAGATATCGGCTGCCACTCGTCGGAAGTCATCATCGAACCTAAAACCATCAATGTTTTCATCTGAAATCAATAGGGATTTAAATTAACGTTAAATTCACGTTAAAGACGTGTCTTTCTCTTACACGAACCTAAATTTCCCCCTAAAAATTTGAATGTTACATTTTTGGAAGCGTTTAAACGATAGAGCATAATTTTGTGCTATTTTTGTATAACATTCTTCGCAATAAAACTATGCTTCAAGCAATGATATTATTACGAACGTAGGTTTATTAGATATTTATTTCTATAGAGAAAGCGTCCACAAATTTCTGATCGGGGATGTATCTGTAAAATGTTCTCAAAGTTTCATTAAATTACATACGTTCCTTTCTTGCTAAATTGAAAGTGCATGCGTATCACTTATCACTGAAAACACGTAGCTGAAACCTATTTCTGACTTATAAACGAAACCTATTTCTGACTTGTAACTGAAACCTATTTCTCACTTATTTCTGAAACCCATTTCCTCCCTTAACGGAATTTCCCGGATCTGTTGAAGGTGGAGATATGGAAATCGAGGAGTTGTTCGACGAACTGGAAGACTTGTCGGACAGTGGTCCCGAATTGGACACCATGTCTGTCAGCAGCACACCCAAGCCATCCCTTCGACCTTTCTTCAGCTCTAGTCGATCCCTTCTCGCGCCACCTCATTCCGGTAAGTTGATTCCACGAACGCTCGATTTATACTTAACCGTAGATTTTGTAACACGTGAACCTCTGTCGACGATACGCGACAAGTGCCCGTCAACGCTTCGTACGACAAGTTGCGCGTCGTAACGTCCAGTGATAAAAGTGTAACGTTGCACGACCCCTAAAATCAGATTAATTATCTCTACTATTGCATAATTAAACGGTAAGCAACGCAGGTATATTATCCGATTAGTATATCGTATCATTACACGCTTCTGCTAGAGAATAACGAATACATTTACAATTTTAATTCACGCTTTCTACGAATTCCAGTTGTTGATTCGCGTTTGGACGAATTCACCTTGCTGGTGCTACGCTGGTGTTCGCTTGAAAGTTTTACTCTCGATGGACGGTGTCGATATTAACCGACTTATGTGTAATTCGTTTGAAAAAAAAAAAAAAAAAAAAAAAACTGGTGTTTATATATCGTTTTCTAACGAAACGTTTCGGTGCAATAGAACCTCGATTATTGATGAAACATCCGTTCGGAATACTCGCAGTAACCGAGGTAGCACCGTGATTTATACAGGGAGTCTTCGTGGATGAAGTAATTAGTATTGTTTATGTTCCGAAGTTTCATTTCAAGCTATTAAATTCACAGTTTGGAATTTATACGTTCCATAAGGTTGGACATTTTTATTTCAGATATTCCAAGTTGAAAGAACGTTTTTTCTTCGTTACTATGTCTACTGCAGTACAGTAAATCGTTGGTGAAAGGGTTAATCGATGAGTTGTCGATATTAAGAGTAAAATTGTTAAGTTACACGTAGCACGACAGACGAGAGGGTTCGTCTACGTTTGTAGAAAGTGTACTCGTCGTTTATTCGTTCACGATTCATCGATTCATTTCGTTCGGCCATACTGTTGACGTCTTGCGGCGATGCAGCATGATATGGCTGTTGCAATTTTCGATACCTTTTCTCCGGTAGGTCGAGTAATAAGTTCGTTTAGATTTGGAAGATTTTGGGAACGTTAAATGTGGAACATTAATTATTCACGTCGCTCGCGAAAGCTGATTTCTATAAACTGATTGAAACGGATGTTTGAGAATGTTTGAGAATGTTTGAGAAGTACGCTGCGAACCGTAGCAGTCAGTTTTGATTTCAATTTGGCGCAATCAAGTTCGCCCGAATATAAGTATCGACGATAGAATAAGAGTAGAAACAAAATTCAGATTTACGTGGCGATAAACAACGCGGTTACTTGTTCCTCTAAATAATTATTTTTTCATTTTCGGTTCGAGTAAAATTTGCTCGGGTCTGTCAAGGACAATGTTTTTCGCGAAAAGTAGGGAAGCACGATGAAAAGAAACTATCCCTGAGGTCGTTTTCTTTGAGATTTCAAGGTTATCGGTTTTTCAATAATAGTCTGCGGTTCGGGTGCTTGCTTGTCGATGCGAAATAATTTGCAAAAGGCCTAAAAGCCTGTTTTACACCTTGCACAAGTACACCGAAGTATGTGAAAGTAATCGAAAAAGTTTCGATAAAAATGTTTGGTCCGATCGAAACTTCTTCAAATTATCTATACGTACGGTAAGTCTCTTTGAGTAGATATTTTTGTAATTTTTTAAATAAATACGAACGAACTTATTATTCAGCCTACGATACATATACATATATATATATATTTGATTTAAATTTATTTCATTTGATGAAAATCTCGCGACTGGACACCGTACGTTAAGGACAACTGTTGAAACTATAAATGAAACTATAAATGAAACTATAAATGAAACAACAAATGTACTCGATCCTTTTCGATATTAATCGATGCGATTTAATCGAAGTTTCCTTAACGAATGTATCAACCATTTCGCGTTTGTTTGTTACGAGTAATGTTTGCTCTCATGTGCCCTGGCTTATGCTATGTTCCACCCATATTTTGCACTTATTTGTCGTTTCGTTGATCAATGATTCCGTTGCGGACGTATCGAGATAATTCTACGTATCCCTAGGCAATCGTTTATTGAAATGTATTATTCGATTAAATATACCCTCTTCCCTTAAAAAATTGCCATCGTCGCGAGGATCACTTCGAAACTTTCGAGATGTAAAGTAATGGTGTTCTAAAAATGTACTACATTCTAAACTCCGTTTCATAAGGGTCTAATTTTGGCGCAGTATGCGAGATGTTACCAGTCGCACATTCCATAATCAAAATTCCAATTTTGATCTTAACAGTTGGCAGCACGCGGTATTGCTATTTTTTTCGCTTTTGTAAAAAAAGTTTTGTAAATAAAGGTTACGCTGGTGGAAACACGAGGTTTTCTTTCTTAAGCGTCGAGGTTTTAAATTCCATTCGTTTAAAGTTGCGTGGTCCTTGGATTCATTGAATTTTAGAGTGCCTAAAATTGGTTCGAATGGGCAATAATTTCGGACAAAATTACTTGGTTCCTTTTTCAAAATAATAGCGTAATCAATTACGTATTGGGATTGGCAAAGGTGTATAGATTCGTGTCTGTAAAAGTATCAAACATAGATTTGACGTGCTCTCTAGTGACAATTATATCGAGTAATTATAAAACGAATCGTTGATATTCGTTATTGATACCAATGGGCATATTTACCAATATAAAGTCAATAATTATTAGATTCATGCATTTGCAGGAAATTTGAATGTGCAAGAATATAAAAAAGATCGAAGGAGAAGTTTATGTTACGATATTTGCAGAATAAAATAAATTCCTATTTAGGTTCGATTTTTTAAGGCACGTTCGCGAAGATTCGATTTTCCATAAGGATCCGCGGGTCTAATAATTGTTAATATCAACCCGTTGCATTTGACAAATTTTTCCGGTATCTACCAGCAACTCGAGATACTTCCTCGGTACGCTGTGCTTAGATTAACTTCGAAGATGAGATCTCTAATTCGAGATTTGAAAATCGGATCACCTTAACTTTATCGACGGTCGTTTTATTGACACTTTCAGTTCCAAAAATATTCGCGTTAAACACAAATTAACGCCGGTTCGAGAGTCACCTTTCCTAGCGCGAAGAGCGAATCAACCGAACGAAGAAACAAATCGTCTGTAATTTACTAGCCCGTCGATGGTCTTCTACCAGATACCGAATGAATGAATTTTAGATCTTATGAGTTCGAATTAGAGACGCCTCAGATAAATAAATATTATCGTACACATTCGCAAAAGGAGTACATACACTCGAAACTCTCAAGATCGATCCTCGTTAACGCGTAATACCAAAGTAGCAATTGCATTTGAATTCGACAACTCGCATTGAAGCTCGCCCGAATCCCGTCGCTTCAGTTTCGATAACTGCAATTTTTCTCCGTAAAAGTAACGCCCGTCGGAGCCCGCGTTGATACCGAAGGGTGACGATGTTAGGCTGCTAAGTAAAAATAGGAACTTCAGACACAACGTTTCGTTGGTCGTTGCGGGCGTTAGATCTTTTTTAACTAAGTGAAAGTTTGGTGGGTTGGCTTTGCATTGTTGCATGTTACGATTCGGTAGTAGTTACCAACGAGGAGACCGGAACCACGTCTGCGACGGCCGCAGGTCAACAGAGCGCAGGTCAGCCACCTAAAGAGAAACATCGTGTCGGACATACCACGCCAGGTATGTAGAGTGATAAAATTACTAAAAGTACGCTAAACTTGATCCTAACAGAGTTTCGAGGATAAATTAGCTGGATCTTGTGGACCTCTGCTTATCACCGAGCAAAGCATGGCTGCGTGAATCTGGCATGTCGTAACGATTGATTGTACTCTTCGTATTTGTTTCTTTTTTTTTTTTCTCTCTCTCTCTCTCTCTCTCTCTTCGAAAGGAAACGATCGGAATGACAGTCGAGGAAAGAAGTGACTTCTGTTGGGACCGTTATATTCATTATAGAGATTATAGACCATTGGCACGTAAATGTTAGAGCCAGCGTGCATTTAAGTAGCGCTTGAAAGTTTTCGTTTGTTTTAGAGGAAACACGAATAGGAGAGCTTGTCGACTTGAATTTGCGATTTTCGAGAACGGAAATGTAGCATATGATGATTCGAACGCGTTGAGTATATTAACGATAGATTCGTTTGTTTCGAGTGGGTCAGTTAATTGTTTTAAACGGTTTAGTACCACGCTCGGTGTCGTTGATAGATTAGATGGATCGGTAACTTTAGGACACTGCTATGTGAATATAGTAAGAGCGAATTAAAAAGATACAGAGACAAAGATTTCGAGTCGGATAGAATTGAATCCGAGTTCGTTGTAAATCGACGAGAGAATTAATTTAATTACGTCCTCGTCCTCTTACTTTGCTCGTTTAAATTCGCTTCTATTCTAGAGTGACTGGACTGCTCGATCGACGCCATGCAAGGACAATCGAAGCGCGGCATTTCCAGTTTCGCTTTTCCCATTCGAAGCTTTCGTCGCTTATTTTCAGCGGGGCGAGTTTCGTTGAATCGCACTCGAGACCTGCTTCCGTTGTTCTTGCATCGGTCTCTGTGATAACGCCGTGAATCGGTAGATGTAAAAACACGCGACGACGATGAATGTAACAGCGACGTTGGAAAATAAATTCTCACTTGGCATTCGATTTCTTGTAGTCATTCGTTTTCTCATTGCTTGCGCGACGGCGAACGAGAGACGAAGGACTAGGGTCGCCAACCGTACTCTTTTAATAATAACTGCGGCAAGAACTTGGTGTCCTTTATTTTCTGGAGATATTACGAATGAAAATTGCTGGTTGAGATTGTGTCTAATACGAATCGATTGTGGTGGGTTAATCAATATAAACTGCCCAGTATTGTTCGTTACGTATATTTGCGAAACGTGTATTTTCTTATGTATTTCAAAAATAAATTAAATGAATAATGGACAACTTGTTGGATAGTCTACCGATGTATAGTTACATCGATCGATTTTCATTTTTAAATACGTATGCATTTTGTAGTTTTAATTTTTATTAGCGATATATACATATGCCATCTGTGACTAATGTACGTATGTATATATTATTATATACGCATCAATATATACATATGTATATTAATCACACATTGCATATATATATATATATATATATATATTATATATTATATATATATATATAATAAACAAAGATAATAAAGTATATAGATAACAAAGACCACGTTTAATATAGTTTTAGAATATAAATATAATATATATATAAACACTGTTGTAAATATATATATATATATATATATAATATTTATATATTATATACATTATATTTATATTCTAAAACTATATTAAACGCGGTCTTTGTTCCATAATGGTAAGAATTTCACCTTTACATATACACAGTGTATAAATTATACGTATTTATAAAGACTAGATTCTCCCCATTATGAAAATGCATTACACGCGCATTACAGCCTGATATATTATTTTATTAACATACAGCGTAATAGGTATTCGTACAGGAACCATTTACTTTAAGTTGGTTGGTGTAGGAATGCTTCTTGCACTGACCGTATCTTATAAACATACATTAACAAATATTATTTTACGTAACAGAGACCACCAAATTCATCTTTCACGTTACACATCGTTCCAATCGCAATGATCGCGTAAATGTATGCCAACAAAAGCTAGAAATATGCAATATCCTTTTTCCATGGTTGAAGGAGTTGGCGACCGTAGTTAGTACGCTCTTTTCTCTTCGATTAGAGCCGTCGAACGGTGAACAAGAGCCGTGTGTCTGTTGCGTGCCTCCTTTGCGCCTCTTTCGCGGCTCTTTTGCGCCTTCTCCTTAATGTAGCAATTTACAAATCGAATTCTTCGCACCTGTCCAACTGGCCTCTTCTCTTTCCGTCTCTCTCTCTCTCTCTCTATCTGCTCGCACGTACGTATCTTCTTCTTTATACTATGAATCTTTGTATACGATCTACATTACCTGTGTTACTAACTTTTCGTTCTTGTACGATTAATGCGACACGATTGATTGCAAGTGTGGGAGGCTTCCGATAAAACATATACTTGACTGTCGATCACGAATGCCTTTGCCATGTATTTCGCGCGCAGATTCGTGGTATCCTTGATGTGTGATACATTTAGTAAGTTTCACTATTCTCTATTCTATCTAACGAGTCCTTAATCGTCGATTGATTTAACAGTGTAGTGTGTATTAGCGATTCTGTCTAATTGGACGCGTTAGACGCGTTTCGACTCGCTGTACTTTTACTTGTCCATCGTATTACGGCGGAAGCGCATTCTTGTCACGTCTCGCATAACGCGTGCGGATCTTTTGAACGCGACTCGACGTGATTTTACATAAATTTACAGACGGTATATAAATCCACGTGCGTCTATATTACGTGTACGCTTATGTGTACATTATTTAATATGTACTCGTATTCAATTATTTATTTCTTTTAAGTTTATACGTATAATACATATCATATATATATATATATATATGATAAATGTAACAAATACATTAAATTTTTTTAATTATGTAATTTTTTTTTTTAATTCATCTTGCTCATCTTGCTGCATATTACGTGTACACGCAATATTTGATATGTACTCGTATTAAATTATTTATTTCTTTTAAGGTAATATCTATAATACACGTCATATACATATATGATAAATGTAACAAATATATTAAATTTTATAATTCATCTTGCTCACGCGTTAAACGAACATTTGCTGAAAGTAATAGCTAGCTTTAGTAGAACATCCAAGACTGATTAGTAAATCTAAATATCTTCATTTATTTATATAATTTACATCGTATTTAAAAATTGTAATACGTGACATATATCATAATTGCGTTATAATACGCGTGATAATAATGCGTTCCCACCGTCGATCGACTACACGGATATCACGCGCATCGCTTGTCGCGAGTTTCAGACCACCTCCAACTAACCGAATTATTTCATAAATAATATCTAAATAGAACATGTAACAGAATGTTAAATTGAACGTGTTCCTTACAGAGTTCACAGATTCGACTTTCTTTTTTTAAGAACAGGGCCATTCTTCTTCTTTTTTTTTTTTTTGCGTATTACAGTTATTTACTTCACGAAACTTTGCACAAATATTTTTAAACGACGACGTATGTTATGAAAGGGATTTTTGTTGAGACCTGGCAGTAGTCGCTACTCGTATTGGGTCAGACAGTTCAGTCAGCCTTTAGAAGGTCCCCGATAAGTATTATTCAAAAGGAAAAGTTGGTCCTTCTATTCGTCTTTTTTTTTTCTTTTTTTTTTTAATTAATTTTCCAAAGAAGACTTTACGTTGGAACTAAAAATCGAGTAATCGTTCGGCAGTAAATGATTTCGAAACACCGCGCGACGGGAGCACGCGAGAATGTTCGAAAAGACGAGTTTGGGAGGTGGTTTGAAGCTTGTGATCGTTAGCGCGAGCTAATCGATGGTGCGCCACGACGAAGAGTAATGAAATTTCGTTGCAGAGCGCGGCGTGGATAGACAAAGCGACGACAGCTCCCGGAGAGCCGACAGCGATTCGCATCCAGAGAATTGGACGGATCACGAGGCGAACGATCCGCCGAATTACGTGCCTGGCTCCCCGCCGAAATCGGAGCTGCACAATAAAACCGAGAGCACGGACAGACGGAGCAGACTTTTTACCCGCGACAGAGGCACACCGGGTAGCAATAAGTCTAAAAAGCACAGCCTCAGCGTTGACTTGAAGCCACCGGCCGACTTGAATAGCTCCGAGGTAGTTAAACAGTACTCCGATAACACGGGGGTGGATAACGGCCAGGCCTGCGCAGATTTTTATTAAAATCAAAATAAAACAATAGCTATTCGGAAAGAATGTATTTTAACACAGTTCTTTGAAAATGAAAATAACACCGATTCGTTTTAAGTAATAGCTATTTCAAGCACCAAATTATTTTTGTATTTGAAATTCAACGAAAGAAGTGATCCTCTGTATGATATGCGACAAGTAGAAGTTATTTAAAAAAAAATCCTTGCAGAAATTTGCTCCGAGCAAAGTCGTTCAAAATATTCATCCGAAACGGATTTGCTGTTGTACTTGAAAATATGTTACACTTTGGAATCGTTCTTTCTTGGAGTTGGAACAATAGCAAAGTCTAATTTATATGTTCAAAGTGGAAACAAATGTTTCGTTTTTAAACGTTTTACTTTCGTAAATCCTTTGTGTATCCTTTGCATCGGTAGGACGCCTGTTAATAAATGGATGCGTTATTGTTTCAGCCGAGGAAGGCATTAGTGGAGCAATTAAGTCGCGTTTTACCGGACGACAGTTTGCCAGACGCGGTGTCGTTGGTCTCGTTGGCTGATCCAGGTGGAGCGGTGCTCGCCGCGAGACTTCAAGAAAGGAACCAGAGAGTCCTGACCACTGCTTCTCCTGCAGACATTCGTGCCACGTTCACGTGCCTGGTCACGCGAATACAAAAATTGTAATTATCGTTCATGGGAAGATTGTACGGTGGGACCTCGATTGATGGGACTCGATAGACCCTTTACTGTCCATAATTTTACGCCTGTTGTGTTCCGACGACTCTGTTATATAAAATTCTCAACTATAATGTGCATCCAAACAAGGCTATAAAACTTATATAAGGCCTCGACATTTTTCAGGAACTAAAGGGCTTTCCAAAGAGAGCTTTAGGATTTACACGTAAAAGTACACGTTACTAGACTTAAACAATACAATTAAATGTGAAAGATAATCTTCAAGTATTCAATATAAAGGTACACGTTACTAGACTTAAATAGTAGAATTAAATATGAAAGATAATGTTCAAGTATTCAATATAAAAGTACACGTTACTAGACTTAAACAGTAGAATTAAATATGGAAGATAATGTTCATGTATTAAATATAAAGGTACACGTTACTAGACTTAAACAGTAGAATTAAATGTGAAAGATAATGTTCAAGTATTCAATATAAAAGTACACGTTACTAGACTTAAACAGTACAACTAAATATGAAAGATAATGTTCAAGTATTCAATATAAAAGTACACGTTACTAGACTTAAACAGTACAACTAAATATGAAAGATAATGTTCAAGTATTCAATATAAAAGTACACGTTTATATTGATCACTGTTATACTAACACATTTATACTTTGTTGAAATAACAAATCCTAAAGCACCTTCTGAAAAAGTCCTTACCTTCCTATTTCTAAATATTATTTCCTGAGATCAGTCATGAATTACACCAGTTAATCGAGGCTCCTACTATATAATTATCGCCATCGTTGTTAATGTCAATTAAAAGACAACGTTTCCATCACGGTTTTCCATGAATATTACAAATTTATCTTTACTTCCAGCTGCAACAGCTCCGCGAAGCCACCAGCACCCATCAAGGTGGTGATTGCAGGTGGTGACAGTTTCGCGAACGCGGTGCTGCGTCACTACGTGGACTTGTTGAGCTTCCGGCCACCCGACTGGCAGAGTTACCTGAAGTTCTTGGTCGTTCCGTTGGGTTCCAACACGTTATCCAAGTATCTCAGTTCGATAGATGCCAAGTACTCCATGCTGTTTGGCGAGGAATGGAAAGAACTCCTGGAAAGGGAGGGCGGTGGTGCGAGCGAATGTGCTGCAAGAGTTTCAGAGTATTTAGCTGTCGCTGGACCTACCTTACTTCTGCCAATCGCGGAAGCCATGGTTACCTACAGGTAATCGACCGTGGTCTTCATCGATCCTTTCTTTTCCTGACAGTATCGCAAGGGTTAAACAAGTTCCTTGGAATTATACTTAGCCACTATTAGGAGGGCGAAATACTCGTTGTACAACTGGTGGAACGGGATCAATTCGACCCTCGTCAAAGTAAATGGCGAGGTCGCTTTTGAACTCATTTTCACCGGGGAAAATCTTGCGCAACCCGTTTGTTATACTCTCGTGGAAGATATTGGATCAACCTATATCAGGCAAAGTTTCTCTTGAAAGGTATCACCTGTTTCATTCGTTTCTCCATAGATTAACCCATAGCATACCAATAGCATACCCATAGCATAGTTAAAATAGTCAATGCTTTGGAACCGTTGGGACCACTACTAATGAAATATTCGTCTTTTTTTTGCAGAGAAACGGATGACAGCAGTCAAATATTCATCCCGTTCATAAATGACGTTCGAGTAGGGTGCCCAGACAGCAGTTCGTCAGCTTCGGTAGATCTGGAGGAAAATGTAACCATGTCCGGCTCGCCACCCTCTCTGCCACCTCCGGGGTTACCTATTCCACCACCCGGTAGGTTAACACCGCCCAGCAGTCCCAATGTTGGTCAACCTACGAGGGAAGGCTGGGAACCAGTCGAGCTGCAACTCGACTACTGGAGCAAGCAAACGCAAGGTGAAAAAGGGAAGAACACGCTGAGACAAGCTTTCAGAGCCCTCCACGTTCAAAGACTTCCGCCACTGGGAGAAACACCTGGTCATCACTTGTCCATGAACTACACCACTAAAGAGAAGAAACAAAAAAGTACGTAAAAGCGAACGGAATTGTGGGTAGTCCCAGATTGCTTCCTTTTCAATTAGCCTTTCAATTAATTTCGCGTAACGTTGGTACTTTTTCAGTAATGAGATTGGGCAAGAAGAAGGAGAAAGAGAAGGAAAACGAGCCAAAGAGTCAAACGGTTGACGGTGTGACACGACTTATATGTTCTGCGAAAACTCACAACATTCCATTGAGAGGTAAACAAAGTAATTCGATAAGTAAATTTTTCACTTCCACTAGAAGTCTTCTACTTAGCTTGTACTTTTTATTTATCTAACGTAACGATCCTGAGTTCACGAAGAGTGTCTATGACTCAAATTACAATAGAAAAATGTGTTTTAGTTTTCAGGTACCAGTATTTTAAAAAGTAAGTTGAGATTGCTGCAATTGCCATCGAGTCTTGATAATTGTTTAACAAAATATATTTCTTTATATTCTTTGAATTTTTACATATAATACTTTTATTTGTATGTGCAAACGATGCAGTAAATGCAACTTATTTGTAGAAATGTCAAGAATAACGAGCAATAATAATGAAAGCTTAGGAAGATAAATTGATCTTTCAGCTTGACAGAAAGCATCGACAGGAAACTGGTTATCTCGTGCCGTGAATTTACATAAACGATTTTGACCTTTTTTTTCTTTAGTGAGTATCGACGGTACGGAGTGGTACGGTGTGAAGTTCTTCCAACTATCGGCGCAGTGGCAAACGCACATCAAGACGTTTCCAATAGCTCTGTTGGAATACAGTTCTCAACAGCAACCGTTCAACCCAACGTAAACATCCTTGGTTTCCATCAAAGGCCACGTTTTTTCGCCGTTTATTTGTGTTCATCGATATTACCAATTAGGATCATCAGCTTAGCTTATGCGCAAACCCGATAACCATCAAATCCAAAACAAAGCAGAAAATAATTGAAAAAAGAAAAAGACAAAAAGAAACTATCCAGCATAGAGCAAGGTTTAAACAGTCCGGGATACAGTTTGCTGTGTCGAACTGGACGATAGTGGAGCTAATCAGGCAAGTAATCTGAACGTTGCCTTATTTGTTTATTATTATTATTATTTTTTTTTTTTAATCCCTTGTTATAGTTTATTATTTGTGTTGTCGAGTGTACTGTATCGTACGTGCAATCTTCTCGCGTAGAAATTCGCAAGAACACGCGAGTAAGCGAATCGTTATTTCGTTTTGCGAGATAGAGAGGCGGTTGACATATCGTATTACAATTAACAAAGACGACGATGATGGATTTCGTTGGTTATGGGAATGCCACTTTATCCGAAACCGCATTGTTCGATAGAATGCCACGCAAGATTTTATATATACATATATATATATATATATAAAAAAAAAAGAAAAAAAAATATAAAAGAAATTATTGCTCGAATCGGAAGGCCGTCGATGTACATACAGGATTTTTTAAACGACAAGCGTAAAACGGTTTTATAGCGGGAACTGTTATGCTAAGATAGATCTTTGTCTAAATTGCAAGAGTGAGAGAAGAAGTTTTTAATTAAATTATGTATTTATTTAATTAATGTAATATTACGATCACACGTTGTCGAAGAAGTCTGTGGTACAGGCAAACATTTTTCTTAGCGCACATAATAATAATAATAATAATAATAATAAAAAAAAAAAAATAAAAAAAAAAGATCATGTTCAGAACATGACCGAGTAGCGTGAACAGAATCGTCGACGTCGAAGACACAGAACTTGGTTGAAACGCGAGTCTCCAAGAAAACACACGAAGAATATCGAAGCGTAGCTCATTAGTTATTATACTCCTTTTCTCGTTTGAGATTTCGACATATTTTTTGTATTCCATTTTATAGACTTTTAGCCCCAGGCTGGCGTAGTTTAAATACTCTATTTTCAGATTTTATTATTTAATACTTTATTCCTACTACGCGATGCTGTATTCCCGACTTTCGATAGACTATACTCATTCGCGATTATTGTTAAGCCGTTCGAAAAAAAGAAGCGATGAATTATTCGTCGAGATGACGTTGGAACGTAAACAACGGCATCTCGCGTACGTTTCTAAAGCGATTTCCACGTACGTGGTATCCGTGAAACGGATACAAGGATCGAAGCATCGTAAAAAGACAGACAGTGGAAACGCACTTAACATGCGTTCTTATTTTTTATTTTACTTCTCCCTTTTGTCGCGAACCCTTTGCGCTCGATGAAAACTCGAACTTGCTAGAAAATATTATATTTCAATATCTGATGTATCGTAACATATTAATATTAACCTTTTGCACTTCAACGAGTCCTAGCTTAGATTTCTGAATTGTACAATGACGACGAAAAAATCTTGGCAGTTTCTTTTAGATTATTCGACTTTCTTTTCGGACTTTAAATTTCTGTTAACTAAACATAAATATACATACACGAAGTAACATAGCTTGAGGTAAATATTATATTCATTTTATTATTATTTACAGGAGGACGCTTTTAAGTATGTAGGCGGTGCAACTATCCGTAGGAGTGCAAAGGGTTAAGTTTTGTATTTTTTATACAAATAACTGCCCCTTGTAACAGTGTAAAATCAAATTGATTTTCACTCGAGCTAATTTCCCTATAGAGGGAACAATAACAATTTTAGAAACAACTTTTCATCGTCGATCGTCGAGCTTAACGTTATTTCATAGTATACAATTGAACGCTTCCTAAAATATTAAACAAAGAGCTTAGATACCTATTCACGGATACTAACATAAACAACAATTGTAACGTCCAAGTCGCCTCACGAGTGCAAAGGGTTAAACAACATCTACGAACGCATCGTGCGTCACGGTTCGCTGTAACTGAAGCCCAACCCATCGTCCCTGAAGAACCATATCATGAGAAAATGATAAACGATAGAAAACTGACGTTAACGTTGTCTTTAGAAGAAAAGAATGAGCGAGAGAACGAGAGCAAGTAAACGTTTTCCTTCAGAAAAACGGGAACCGTTTGCGTAAAACGGTTCAACGTACTTTACGACTTCTTCCTTTTTTTCCTAGCAGCGAAGAGAAAGCAAACATAAAGAAGAAAAAAAAAAAAAGATATTAGAACAGTGCTTTACTGTTTTCGGCGACGTAGCCGTCGCATTGACTGCCTAATGCCAAATTGAAAGAGAGAGACACTCAAAAAAAAAAAAAAAGAGAGAGAGAGAGAAAAAAATATGGAAACGAAACGTAAAATGCCTACAATGATTTGCTCGAACGAATTCTCTGAAAAGACTTTAGGACAGGCATTCTGTAACGAAGTGCGATATAATAACGCCCGATCCATTTGGTGGCGATTGCTTTTTGCCAAAGTAAAACCAGCAGTGAAATCTTTCCTTGTGCCCCTCTTCCCCTTCGCAACCATATACGTGTACACGTGTGTATATATATATATATATACACACACACACTCCTCCCCCCCCCCCCCCCCCCCCCCCGCTCCCCGTTCTTTACTAGTCCGCAATTAGTTCATAACGAGTATTGAACTGCAAACGTAGTCCTACATTTTACATTTTTAACGGCTGAGAGCAATAACCGTTTGTGCGAACTCAATGCGGCAAAATAGTTGACTTAAAGCTAGCAAAAGGTAACGCGACGTCGTGATGCGTGTTCGCATAAATGTTGGAACGTTCGTTTCGTTGGGATAGCGATAGATATAAAAACAATGAAATGATTCCAATTTTGATCAAATCTGCCATATTTTAAGGATGAAACGTAGAGTCGGTTCTATTATGATTAAATTAGATTGAATCGGTAGTAGAGTTTGTAAACATTTTATAATAGCTTTCAACATATCTTTGTCGGTAGAAATAATTGATACATCTGTGAAATTATAATTATGATATTAACGAGAAAGAATTTATATTGGAGTTATACCATTCGAAGGAATACGAGGATTATTATAATTTTGTAATTTATTATACGGTCGAGTGAATGTTTTAAACATCATTGTAAGTGAGTGTTGATGATCATCGTGACGTTCATGACATTCCCGTAACGAGTAGTTCAACGTTTAAAGTTTTCGTATGTCTTTGATGATGTTAAAGATTCCTCTTTCTGTATAAACATTATTACTTTGATGTTTAAAATATTACAAGATTTATAGATAAATTTAGTTAAGAAAATAAACGAAATAAAAGTTCCGTTAAAAATAATATACGTACTGTGTGTATATACAAATTCCGAATCTTCTTTCTTGTTTATAATTACATATTTAGGTTTGCATCAATTATTTTTACTACCGAAGGCCATGTACTATTTTTAGAAGCATTAATTATAAGGTAAATTAAAAGAAGGTTGACGGTGTGGAGTCGAGTCGAGTCGAGTCGAGTCGAACTCGATTGGTTGCTCAAGGTCATTTCCCCCACTGTGAATCTCGCCAATCAGGTCGCTTATTTTTAAGTCGTGTCTTAAATTCGTTATTTTTAACGAGGAGAGGATTCTAAGTGTAGCTATCACTTTTCAATGGAGTGATACAACATAAAATACTCAGCTGATAATATGTATAAATCAAATTTATACAAAAATATATTAATAGAAAACATATTTACAGTATTTGTAGCACAAGTCTCGACAAAGCTTGAATTCAGCGTTGGCTGTTTACAAAAAAACCTGATAGATGGAGCATTGAGAAGCCGAGCGATGTAGTGACCTTGAAAGACCAATTGATTCCGGTTACAACACAGCGAGCTCCGTGAATCCCAAAAAGTCAACAAAGAGCATTTTTACGAGCACACACACGACGCTTACCTGTTTTCGTCGAGCATGCTGAATCGTTTTCAGCAATCGAACCTGCCATACAATGTATATATTTCTATACGTATATATAAATATATAGATATTACATGCTCCCACAGTTTCAACGAAGCATATGACAGTGTTTGCGCGTTGCTTCGCGATTTTGCACAATATCGTTGTTTCTCCGTCACCCCGTTCACGTCGATGATAACGTCTCCTACTCGTGATAACACTGGGCCTTGTTCTACAATCCACATCGGTGGCATAACCAGCACAGTGAAAATAAAGTGCCATTTTTAATTAAAAAAAATAAAGAAAAATAAAATTTACAAATCAATAGGTATCAAATTAAACTAAATTGTTATACAAAATATTTCTCGCGAGACAATTGTAGTCTTCCCATATTTATTATTTATCGCAGAACCGATATCTGCAAAACAATGTGTGTACAGTTAGAAAAATTATTAGAAATAAATCGATGTCTTTTGTTTATTATTAAATTCTCAGTTATGCCACCGATTAATTATTTAAAGAGCTGGAAATTATTTAAAGAATCGGAGCAACGGTCCAGTGTCTTCAATGTGGTGGGCGCGATCACGAGTCCGTATGATTCATACATGCGTTCAACATTCATTCAGACTTGTAAGCGCGAGAATGTGCGAAAGACTATAATTAATTAATTAATTACTGTTCGTAGACTCGTGAACGTTCAGTATCGAAGCCGAACTTGGCGGAACTGGTTTCTTTTCCCACGGTAGCGTGATAGCGTTTAAGCGATTTTACAATGTCGTAATGTTCCTTGATCTTTTATTCCGTTTTTTTTTTCATTAATTTTGTTTCCTTGTTTTTGTTGTTTCTTTCGTTGGTCGATTAAAATAAACGCTAGCGGTGTAGCCGTCAACTTGTCCGTCGTCGAGTTGCGTATAAGCTTTGTAAGACGACGCGAGGAACTTTCCTTAGAAACGTAAGGGATATTAACCCTTTGCGCTCGGGTGGCGCCTCTAGGGCGACATATGTAAAAAAGTGATTTTTGAAATTCACTTGCATTAGAATACAACTAATTATTAATTGAAATAATAATACATTGTGTCGTGAACGTTCGCATATGGTTTTTCTTCGAAGTAGAGTTTTTGGTTTCGCAGAAATTTATTATAAAAACGGACTGCATCTGATTCTATAAAAAAATGCCTCGAGCGCAAAGAGTTAAGCGGCGACACCTGTAACACGTGCTCACGGCCCCGTTGAATCGTCGAAGTGTATCAACAATTTGAGTTATCAACGTGGAGAGATTGTTAAACGGAATGCCATCCTAAGCACGTTGTCGTTGAACTCAGCAATGAAATATGATGTTAATTTAAAGTACAGCGAATAATCCTGAAGCTTCCGAAGATAAATACTGTGGATATTAAAACGTATCAGGTAATAAATCTATTCAAATGGTCAAAAATATGTACAGTGGGTGTAGAAAGTATTCGTACACTGATCAATTTCCAAACAAATTATGTAAAATTGTAATTTATTCACTTATTTTTTTATAAACAATGACATTCTACATATTCCCGGAAATCTCTAGAATAGATAGATTACAAAAAAAAACAGCTATTTATGTAAGATGTGTAATTAACAAGAAAAAAAACGATTAATCATCATATAATACTTCCTTCGTGGGATTTCCTTTTGATTTTATAATTATTGTAACTCTTCTAAGCATTAAATCAACTAAATTATTAGTTAAAAGTTAATAAGAAGCGGGATCTTTTTCCATTCCTCTATTAGAACCTTTTCTAAAAGTAATTTCAATAAACTAATGTGTTTACATTACAAACTCTACTGTAAATGGTGCGCCATAAGAATCGTACAAATACTTATTGCTTCTATATTTTTACCCACTTTTCGCATTTTTTTGTCAATTTCACAAATTATATTAACTAGTAAATGTTGTTTGGACTATATCTATCTTAGAGACTTCCAAGAATATGTAAAATATCATTGATTATAAAAAAAGAAGTTAAGAAACTACAATTTCACACAAAAGTTTTTTGGGAAATTGATCGGTGTACAAATACATTCTACACCGACTGTAAGTTAAAAATGTGGAAACAAATTTTGCTTTACTCTGAATTAATTTTATATTTCATTGTTGAGAGCCAACATCCAATAATAAAATGCTTGGGAGGACGCACACGTTTAAGACTCAATTTATAGATGGTCGATTCTAGTCAAAATATGAGGTCATGTTGTAATTGGAACGAGGATCATCAAACGCTCGTGTACTGGGTATATGCAGAAAAAGGATAGATTGACAATTTTGCGAATCTTGACAGTGTTTCATTTGGAAATACTAACACGCATTCCTTGTGTAAGATTCTTTTAAACAGCGCGAAGGCCGTCAGCACGTTTAACAGGAGAAGTATTATAAATAAAAAAGAAAGAAAAAAACACAAAAAATATTTGCTATTGTTCGTCGATGTATAGTAAGTTTTAACACACGTGTGGGCAGGCAAGGCTCAAGCTCAAAGCTTACAATAATTAAAAGAAGTAATTAATATATCAAACGCGTGTTTTTGGTACAGCGATTAAAGAATTATTAGATGGCGTTTAATTTCCACGAGTTTTTAGACGTCTTTATTGTACTGCTTTACAAACAGCGACGTCTAATCGTACATGTACATATTATTAAACTTGTTATCAATAATATTAGAGTTCAATTGAAAGGGCTATAAAGTATGTCCCTACCTCGAGTGTCGAAGACGAATAAGGACAACCCAGGACAAGTTGTCCTGGACAACAGGACTTCTGGTGCAGTCCCTGTGATGAAGTTTTTCCTTTTCTTCCTCAATACCTTTCCTAAATTGTCCGATATTAGTAAAACTTACCTCTTTCATTTACGAATTTAAGAGATAACACCTAAATGTCTTTATTGTTTGTGGGTACGTAAACAAACTATTTAGGGAAAAGTTAAACTGCTTCTCTGCTATCATTTCCTTCATTTTGTGTTTTTATTGACAAGCAGTAATGGTTTCTAAACTAAAATTTGTATGTATACTGACAAATAAAAGAACTGATGACTTGAGATCACAAAGGGAATGATCTTGGATAACATTGTCTTTATATTACTATGTCGACCTCTTTAAACAGTTTAATTTTGCCCTAAATAGCTTTCCTTACATTCCTGAGCAACAGAGATATTTGGATGGTCCCATTTAAAATTCGATCCTGTATTATTGATGTGCATAAAGGTAAAATATAAATTGTTAAAGAAATTTATGTACACGTACAATAAATACATATTGTTTACGGTTTGAGATATCTTGAAATGATTAAACACTGTGTATTTATGATTTCTCTCAAAACGTGAAACATAATGTACAGTGTACTGTTTATAATATAGACCTCGTTATCTCGCAATCAATTTAAATCGCGACT